CATTTAATATAAGATGTAAAGTCAGCTATTTAATCCTTGCATTTACAATGGCTCATGATCCACAATAATGATCAGATGTAAAGTCACCTATCTAATCCTGTATGGACAATAGCTCGTGACCCCAATTTATAATAAGATGTAAAGTCAGCTATCTTATCTTGCATGGACAATAGCTCATTATTCACATTTAAAACTAGATGTAAAGTCAACTATCTAATTCCCCCCCCCCCCCCCCCCCCCCCCCCCCCCCTCAACATCCCAAATATGACCTAGGAACCCACGACAGCTCGTCCACTACCACATTTGGGTATTGTGTTAACTTAATAACACTGATTTATCAGCCTATTGGTCTACAACTGTTCCACTACCACATGTGTGTATTGTGTGAGCTTGATAACATTGATTCATCAGCTTCTTGGTTTACAACTGTTTCACTACAACATGTGGGCATTGTGTTAACTTGATAACACTGATTTATCAGCTTCTTGGTCTACAACTCACTACCACATGTGGGTATTGTGTTAACTTGATAACATTGATTCGTCAGCTTCTTGGTCTACAACTGTTTCACTACCACATGTGGGTATTATATACAAATACAGTAACTGACCTCAATTATATTTCCACTACATGCTTCACCAGTCCATGAGAAGCTTCCATGACAAACACACCTGTGGTGGACAGTAGCAATAACAACAAATAAAATCTGTCAGACACACATACTTTTTCAATATGAAACTAAATACAATTTACTTTGCTAATTCACTTGTTTCAATTCAACAAATTGTTTGCAAGCAGTGCTCTCCTGTGCTATGACTCTAAACATGTTAATTTCCAAAACATGGACTGTATGCAGCATTAGTTGATGGTTTTGCAACCAAAATAAAAGTTCTTTTTTCTGGCTTTTACAGGTTTCTGATTGACATTTGATTGACCACGTCTGCCTTGTCATGAATCAATTCATCACCCAGTGGTTCAGATCCAGCCAGTCTGTCTGCCTGTTTATTACCCACCATGCTGGCATTGCCTGGAGAAAAGATCTAAAGCATGCTCAATACCTGTGACCTTTCCAATAAAGTTTGTCCCTTTGCTCAAAGCATCCATGTTTTCACCTTTCTCAGCATGCTTTCAGAGTCTGTTACAATTACGACATGTGTATGCATCTTGTTTGCTAGCCACCGGAGAGCTGCAGTTATCGCCTCCACCTCCATTCTCATGCTAGATTCAACAACGGAATCAGTAGAGAATGAAGATTATTATGGCCTAGTGAGAACGAGGCACCTGGGTGTAACCTGAGGGTCTGGCCGGCTCACTACACTCAGGGGAAAGGCAAGATGGACATATTACCAGATTATGATGTACTATCAGCATTGAAACTGTGCTGGCTGCTGAGGATGAGGAGCATGAATGGGAATGCGCAGAGTGCTGTGATGTCAGGTCTTGACTCAGCTCAACTCAACTCTGATCGACATGATATCTTTTGACAGTGCCCAGTACACCTGTATAACAGCTTTGGTACTGGCTACAAGTGAATAGATTGTAGTGGATATGATTATATTCACCCTAAAGAACATTTTATGATATTATTTAGGGGTAAAAAAGGTGTTAGATTTTTAAAAATTATGGATTAGCCAAGACATAATTTACTTTTATTATTAGTCTCAGAGGGTAGGAAGTTGGTTAATTCTTTATTTATGATTACTTCCGTTTATGTAGAAATAAACCAAAAACCTTTGAGGTGCATGGAAAACATTTGTTTAATCATGTGATGTCATCAAAGGAGCAGAAGAGTTCACACTGCCATATCTTCTTGGCAGTCTAGAGTTCTCACCCTGAACATTTATAAAAACTAAGATTTAAATATCTTCTACTTCTTCTTCTTCTCTTCTAGTTTCTTAGCTTAGTTTCTGAGAATTATAAGGTTTTTTTTTTTTAATGAAATTTGAAAAGCAAAAAGGTAATTTAATACAGGCTGAAAGTTTTAAAACTGTACAACAAATGCAAGAGAATTAGTTTTTTATTCGCTAAAATTATGCAGACAAAAATTGACATCTGCCTAGTACTTTAAAAAAAAAAACTTTGAAAGGAAAAAAGTTATTTAAACAGATTAATCTGGGATTAAAGTGTTAAAACTGTGCAAGAAATACAAGAAGGTGATTCTAAAATTATGCCCATGAAAACTGGCATCTGTCGAGTACTGTATGATGTTCAACCTCACCAGGAGCACACAATAAGGGACCACCAGCTGGTGACATAAAGTGCCACTATTTAGATGAGAATTCCCTGGGAAAAGTCCCTGAAACCCCTTCAGCTATTAGGTTAAGTAGAGCCCCCAATGAAAGCCGGGGTGGGGCTTTAAATAAACAAGAATTGCAGGTAATTAAACATGTAAATGGGAGCAGGCACTATATACCCTGTATATTTGAAAATTTTGGAATAATTTCTGTACTTTATTTACTTTAAACTCTGAGTTAAAAATTTAACACTGGAAATAACAGGCAAGTATACCTGTGTTTTAGAGGTTCTGCCGTCTCACAGTAAGCGAAGAGACCACATAATCCAGGGCTACACATGTCCTGCAGTTTGCAACTTTTACCATCTCCGTCTCTCTTGTAGCCCAACTTGCACTGACATTTGACCTGCTTGAAGTTAAAGAAACAAAACATGTTATAAAATATACTTTTTGATTAATTTGAAATCCATTGTCAAGCGCTACTACAGTTGTAGCTGTCAACATCTGAGAGTTATGATTCATGTAGATAATGATTTTTTTTTTGGGGGGGGGGGGGGGGGGGGGGTCTGGGTCATCTCTACTATGGAGGTTGGCTGCAGTACATCCATTGTGAGAAGCAAGTCCCTTCCACAGTGGGATTCTTATAATAGTCTGACAAATGAGAAATCCTGAGAATACTATAACTACAAGGTGGTTTCAAATAAAATCAGTGATGTCATAATAATGCCACCGCACTTTTGACATGCACCAACAAGGAGCAGCCATAAATAATTTGTTGTTGTTGTTTTAAACCAGTAAAGGAGTTAAACCTGCAAAAAAAATCAAAAGTGCATGAAGGGCAAGTATGGTGTTCATCTGCACTGTTATATCATATGCATAACACTCCTGACATTATTAGCAACGATAAGTTAACAGGTTTCAAGATAATGACATCTTTATTGTAATTACCATCATACTTTTAAGGTTTTCTTTTGAATCCATCTCATAGAATGATTTTTCATGGAACTGAAAAATTAAAAGAATGAAAGCAGATCCTCAAAAATACACGAGGAGAAAGAGACTAGAGAGTGCGGTTAAAGAATTCAGGAGGGCATAAGGTGAGTTGCATGCAATAGTAAAAGATGTGACAACTTGGCGAGAGTTTTTGAGTGCTCCAGTGAGAGAGGAAGGCCGACAGAAGAAGCCACAACATAAAGATGATAGGTCAAAGTGGCAAAGGACCCATCACCTCCCCCTCCCACCACCCTGAATATTCTCTCATCTGGTTGGTCAAGCATGAAAAAAATATTTCTTCAATGGGTAAAGTGACTTCAGCATTTGTAGGTGATAGTTTAAATCTCACTGTGTGCAAAGCTTTTAACTGTTTATGTTGTCCTCATATTCTTTATCGTGTCTGTGTTAAGCTCTAACCATTTCTAGTGAATGTACAAGTATTTCTTATGCTGAACCTAGTGAACCCCTATCATAATAATTGATAAACATCAGTAAAAGCAGGCAAAGGACTTTAAACATCTAGTAAAGTCAGTAAAGGACCCTCTTCCACACCCTCAATCAAACTGGGCATATAGGGCTAGACCTAAATGTTATAGATCAATCAGCATTCGGTAGGTGATGTAGTCAACATCATGTCAACAGCGTTTATTTCTGATGACAATAGCTGGTTTACTTAATACCTGGTTTAATAGCTGGTACCTACTCAATGCTTGGTTTACTTAATACCTGGTTTAATAGCTGGTACCTACTCAATGCTTGGTTTACTTAATACCTGGTTTAATAGCTGGTACCCACTCAATGCTTGGTTTACTTAATACCTGGTTTAATAGCTGGTACCCACTCAATGCTTGGTTTACTTAATACCTGGTTTAATAGCTGGTACCTACTCAATGCTTGGTTTACTTAATACCTGGTTTAATAGCTGGTACCCACTCAATGCTTGGTTTACTTAATACCTGGTTTAATAGCTGGTACCTACTCAATGCTTGGTTTACTTAATACCTGGTTTAATAGCTGGTACCCACTCAATGCTTGGTTTACTTAATACCTGGTTTAATAGCTGGTACCTACTCAATGCTTGGTGGACTTAATACCTGGTTTAATAGCTGGTACCCACTCAATGCTTGGTGGACTTAATACCTGGTTTAATAGCTGGTACCCACTCAATGCTTGGTGGACTTGATAGCTGGTACCCACTCAGTGCTTGGTAGACTTAATAGCTGGTACCCACTCAATGCTTGGTGGACTTTTTTAAAGTCTGACTCCATCAGGACCTGAACCCACGACCTTCTAATCTGCATGCGGGTGTCTAGCCACTACACCATGTTGGCTCCAACTTTACATATTTATTATTTAAAATACAACAAAGATACAATGAAGCCAGTCAAGTTAAAGGACCATTGGCACTAGTATTTTAATGTAAGTACGTGCAAAAAAACACTAAAAGAGCACTGTTTAACATAATATTCTTACCAACATCATACTATCAATGTCAAACATGAACAGTGTCATAAAAAGAAAAAAGACAGAGTTACATCAGAAACAAAATGTTCACGACTTAGGAGTGATAATATCAGGAAAAAATGTAACTCACCTTATTTCATAATTTACAGATATGTAAACCTGTATTACGTAATTTTTTTTAAAACTTACAGATATTACATGTGTATTTTATAACTTGAGCGATATGAAACTTAATGTGGTCTAGCCGACAGAAATGATAATAAATTTGCTCTGATATTTAAACAGCTTGTGTGGTATATTTGACAGATACCTGGGATGGGCTCTGAGAAATGCAGTCTTGTGTGCTATCACAGCCACCATTATTGACCAGGCATGGGTCTAGTGGAATACAGACATTCCTCAAGTTATGATAGCCTTCATCGCAGACACATTCATATGTGCTCGGCCCAGTGTGCAGACACTGACTGTTAGCTCCACACAATGAGTCAGATTTATTACATAGATTGTCATCTATTGGAAAACAAATGAAAATGTAAACATTTCTTTAAATACTTTATACAAAGAAATTTTTAAATAAAAATTCATCACAAAATTAGGTAAAAGTAAATAAAGGAAGATTTCCCACACCTTCAGGCATATTGGGCATATAGGGCTAGACTTATATTTTATAGACCAATCAACACTCAGTGGGTGGTGTGGTCAGCATCACTCCAGCTGCCTTTATTTCCTTGACTTTACCTTGTACCCATTTCAGGTTGGGTCGACCTGGAAGGCAAGATACTTTTTTTTATTCCAGCTCCATCAGGACCTGAACCCATGCATCACATAATTACTGGACCAAAAAGATACAAATGAGCTTGATAACTGATCACAAAAAGTGTCACAACTGAGTGAACAGTTTTGAACAGACATACACAATTATAAAAGCAAACCCAATAAAAGTTTATAATAAAAGCTTAATAAAAAGAAATATTTAGGCATGGCAGACTGTTGATGGAGAATGATGGTAGTGAGAGGTCAGCACTCTTGCCTGCTGGCCAGGTGGTCATCAGATTGAACTGTACAAGCTGACTTTAGACAAAACCCAGGTTCGTGAAACAACATATGTAATTTGAGGCATTAAAAAATAAAAATAAAAAAGCAGTACAAAGTGTTGATCTATTAATACTGCCTCTACTAAAACTAATACTACTATTGTTAATAAGAAAAATAATGCACTTAAATTCTTCATATTGATTATTTTATCATTGGCATCTGCATTTAAAACTTTCTGAAACCTAAATAGTTTAAGATAAAGAGAGGATAAAAATGCATGAGGTGTAAAATCTGGTTCAGAATTCCATCAAGCAAAGATAAAGATGATGTTTTTAAAATTACTTGCTACCAAATGAAAGTGACAGACCCAAACAATGTGCATCCTGGTAAAGCAATACTCACGAGTGCAGCCACCATCGCCAAAAATGCTACTGTTGCAAGCACCCGGGGCACACATACAGTCTGAAGTGGAAAGGAAAATGTTTCATTTCATTAAATGTGATAAGGTCTGGATGTGGCATAAAATGTCTTAAGCAGTCGGTTAAAACTCTACAGTTATGTTCTGTTATTTTATCACAATCAACCCTACATACTGGACATTCTCATTAGTGCTCAGCCCTTTGATGCAGAAGCCACTGGTACCCTTCCTGACTGTTCAAAAAAAAAAAAAAGCTGGTTATAATGTCTCCTATCTTGACTTAAAAGACGGTGTGGACATGCTTCACCAAGTTTTACTCCCATGTCATATAATCACGTTAACATTAGAGGAAATTCATCCTTATTAGCCAACCGAGTGCAAAGTAGAGTAGGCAGAACAGGAACCTTCGTATTTATGCTACCATACAAAATAACATGCATTCAATTAATAGTTATTTCTTATTTATTTGGTTTTGATTGTAAAGAATCACTCCCTAAGCACACAGTTATCTTCACTAGTGCTACATACTATACAAATGAAAAGAAAGAAACTTTAGTGCAGTCCACAAACTCTATCGCAATTGTGATGACCCAAATGTGTGTCCAGTATTCAACAATCACATTTGGGTATGGTGAACATGGAGACATTAAAACTACTGCTGCTGAATTGGAGGACAGTGCACAAATGTATTGAACTAATGTTCTATGATGTCCATTCAGATAATAAGTAAGAAGTAACACATGCTATACATTTTCTTAATTTTTGTGAGTAGTTTTCCTAACAGTGACATTATGTGTGGGCAGTGGTTTATTCTGCCTGCTAATTGTTATATTGAGAGAATGTTGAATGACAGAGAGGTAAAAACTGTATACACAAGGGAGTTAAATGGTCGCAGACCATTAGGCAGACCTAGAAGAATATGGAGAAATAATGTCCAGAGAGATCTGCAAACACTTAGTGTCACCAGCTGGAAAGAGAAGGCCAACCTGAGAGTTGAGTGGAGGCCGGCAATATCTGCAGCACTGAATCAATAGGCCCGGAATGCTGAAGAAGGAGAAGATTTGTTATTTTCAACTGTTGAATGATTGTTAATATGAGCAAAATGTACATTTCTTCTCTGAGATTTTTGGCTTTTGGTTTCAGTTTTAACTATTATCTATAAAGGTGAGGTGTCGGATCCACTACCCGAGGATCAGAGGGGAGTGTGAAATTCTTTTTCTGTGTGAGTGTCTCTGATTTTACCACAAAGAGATTTTTAAATCCAAACTATGACAGTTAATCACTTTCTGTTCATTTAAAAAATCATCAACTTTACATACACAAACGCATTTGTTAAAATAATTATACATGTGAAATAATATGTTAACACATCATACATAAACTTTCTGACAAAATTATTTACATAAAATTATGTTAGATTCAGACATTTCACAAAACAGATTTGGTGTTTCTCACCCTGGGAACAGTTTGGTCCATATTTGGTATTATTTCTGCACAATTCACAGGCTTCTCCTTCAAACTCAGACTGGAATGTATGAAAGAATGCAAATAAATAAAGAATTTCCTTTGTTCTGATTTGCTTTAATTCTTTAGATTTTTGAAATGCCAGATGGCATTTGAACACATAAAATGGTGTTACTAAAGCTGGTGCTACTGAAGCTGTTTTATAACTTGGGGATACTGTACGAGGCCTCATATATTTGGTGCTACTAAATCTGTTTTATAACTTGGGGATACTGTACTAGGCCTCATATATTTGGTGCTACTAAAGCTGTTTTATAACTTGGGGATACTGTACGAGGCCTCATATATTTGGTGCTACTAAATCTGTTTTATAACTTGGGGATACTGTACTAGGCCTCATATATTTGGTGCTACTAAATCTGTTTTATAACTTGGGGATACTGTACGAGGCCTCATATATTTGGTGCTACTAAATCTGTTTTATAACTTGGGGATACTGTACGAGGCCTCATATATTTGGTGCTACTAAATCTGTTTTATAACTTGGGGATACTGTACTAGGCCTCATATATTTGGTGCTACTAAAGCTGTTTTATAACTTGGGGATACTGTACGAGGCCTCATATATTTGGTGCTACTAAAGCTGTTTTATAACTTGGGGATACTGTACGAGGCCTCATATATTTGGTGCTACTAAATCTGTTTTATAACTTGGGGATACTGTACGAGGCCTCATATATTTGGTGCTACTAAAGCTGTTTTATAACTTGGGGATACTGTACTAGGCCTCATATTTTTGATAAACAGTCAATTATGTGGCTTTATTACAGCAACAACAAATGAGACAAATATCAGCAAGAATATATTATTTCATTTTTTTGAGAAAGATAAAGAGAATTCTGCCTCAGAGTGGGGCAAATCAGACTGAATAAACATTTGCTTCCCATTTATGTCTGCATGGATTAGGAAAACAGACAGCTGCACATTTATTGCAGGACTATTGTCTGTAGAGAAAGTTGAGAACAATATGCTTTTTCAAGTCTAGCCTGAAGCAGACATGGTGTTGCTTACATTAGCTATCACCTAGTTATTTCATTGAAGATGAACTCTGACCTGTGGTTTAGTTCATTATGAGGATTTACCAAAATCTTCACTGAACTGTCATGGAATCATCCTGACTAAAGGCACAGTTTAGCTTTGGAAAAACTTAACAAATTCTTCTTCTCCCCTTTCTTCTTCTTCTTCTTCTTCTTCTTCTTCTTTTCCTCAGTGTTCCCCAGCTCATAACTCTGGCAAAAAGTTCTGGTTGTTCGTCCACCTCTAATTTTTAGTCTTGTTCCAGAATTTGAATTTTGCATTCATATCTGTTTTAAAGGTCTACTTATTTGCATACAGACTGCCAGTTCTTCAGGCAGATGTGCTCTGATTTTGGGCAGAAAATCCATAATTTGTAGATGACATGCTTGTTGGGGGCAGTGGATCTATTCTTTTTTTACACCCAAATGAGGCCCCTGAACCTAAGCAAGAAAGCTAAACAAATTTAATGAAATCAATAGGAGGAAACAATCATCTTCTTCTGTGATCAACTTTTTCTGTTCCTCTACTATTCCAGCATGGGTCACAAAAATGAGAATGCTTCACAAGTGCCCTATAGTTCATCTTGAGGGGTCAAGTCACTCTTGTTGGCCAGATTTCTTCTCTTTGTCTTGCAAAATCTGTGCAGTCTTCTAGGAACTGCTCTGGATTTAACTTTGTGCTCCACATTTGTATCCAGCACAGTCAGTGAGACCCATTCAATGAAGATGTGTCTGAGCTTACAGCATCTCATTCTGTCTGAAAATTCTTATTGTCTAAAAATTCTTATCTACAAATCTGAAGGCTCTCAAAGTTGGACTGTAAAGTAGACCTTGAGACTATCTTCTTGTGGTATTAGACAGAGCTGTAGATTTCCTGCAGTGATTCATCACTGCGAAGAAGGTCAATTGTATGATCTGATTCTATGTAATAATGATGAAAAAAAAAGTTAAAAGTCCAGATACCTACTTGACAAACACAAGATCCATTCAAATCAAGACATGTCCCATGGCCATTGCATGGGTTGTTTATGCCACCAGGACATACTGGTGAATGGAGACAAAATTTGTCAGGTACATGACACACAAACTATTTGACAAAATTATTTACATTAAATTATGTTAGATTCATATATGGGGACATGGGCTGGTTCATTATTATGTGTGTGTCTGCATACAGTCATGTATTGGTTTATAAACTCCTTCAGTACCAGATGCTTTCACAGGAGATGCTAAAGCAAAGAAATTACCATGATGAAAAATCATTAATTGGCTCTCCTGTCAAATCCGGACGAAGAATAAAAAGCCTTGGACGACTTAGTCAGAGTTCTCTCCCTTGGCCGCACTGCAAACAGTGATTGGAAAAGCCAACGAAACAAACGACACAAGCAACATGGCAGTTAGACGCATTCACATAACTAACATCGTTCTTGCGACGCACGACTTACTTGCCACACACAGTCACATACACACACAAACAATTGAGGGCCTCTGGATGAAGGTCAAACGCACAATTCGCC